AATACAACTATAGTGACTCTGTTAATGTAGATGGCTTTGATATAAATAGATCATTCCTTGTAAAGCTTGAGCATGTATGTTGACATAAGCTGTCTAGGACCTTTCTTTTAACTGAAATGAACTTTAAAATAGGCAACATCAGTACTGTAACTAGAATTAGTTGATCTTCAGTCCTCATTAGTAAATCTTTAAACACAAGGACAGAAGAACTTAAAAAAAAAAAAGCCCTTCAGCAGTCTGCTAGAAGCTGAAGGGCACGGTGCCTGCTGTCATTGGCTTATATGTACTGAGAACTGAACAGTCTACCTTTTGCAGAAGGGTAGTACTCTTTCTTCTTAGGAGATGGCAGTGCAGGGGAAACAAGTAGTGACAGTTCATCAATGTTTGCGGAATGGTCTTTGGCCTATTAGTATGAGGAAAACACACAAGAATTTTTGAAAAATAAATCTTTACCAGTATAGCCTTTCTTGGATTGTATTGTAGTGAAATAAAGGTATTGATTGACTCATGGTTCCTCCTGCGGTGTCTAAATACTTACACAGAAATTAATAAGTGAGTAAATCCAACAACTGTTATCTGCAGTTCTGGAAACTTTTGTACAAACTGTTCCCTTTGTCAAGGGATTGAATGTAGTTCTTGGAAACTCCTAATTTGGAATAGTGTCATGTCAGGAATAGACGCATGCAGTTGCTGCGGTATCCTTGCTATTAGATATGGTGCATTTGCTGCAGTTCTATTGGCTGCAGAACTTTGGAGCTGGATGTCTGCTTCTGGAAGAACCTATATGACCTTGATCTGCCTTTTTCAAGGAGTTCTGGTTTGTTTTAGAGGCTCTATTTTTATTTATTTATTTCTATTTTATTAGTTTATTATTTTGTTTATATATCACTTTATATATGAAGTACATATAAATGAATTTATTATGTAATTGTTTCTATGTTTAAGGTCCTTGTCCTTTAGAACTATTTAAATAGCTACATTAAAGCCTCTAAAACTACAAAACAGCTCTAAGTGTTCCAGTCTCACATGGTTGTGAGGACAACGTTGCAAGACCTTAGCCAGAGCTGCCTACTCTGTTAAAATAGCAGCAGTCTGATTCTATTTTAGGCTTTCACTTGCCTGAAAACAACTTCCACTTTAAAAGTGAAGGCTGGCTCTGTTGGCACAAAAACATTGTGCCAAGAGATATATTTGAACTTGTTTAGTTAAAGTTTTATGAGAAAATTGAAGTGTGCACATATCTTGTGAACTTCAATTCCTTACTGCTATAGTTCAGTAAGTAAGGGGAAAAAAAGTGGTTAGACTGCTTAAGGACACCCTAACAAAGCATCTTGAACCAGCCTGCAGCTTGGAACAAAGGCTCAATGAGATGCACATTCATTGTGATTTCCTACCTAGACCTGCCTGTTCCATTGCCATACAGTGCTCTAAGAAGGTGGAAATCAGTGTGAGGGAAGTGACTGTTCAGAAGTGTTGTGCAGCTTGGGGCAGTGGTAGGTGAGCAGCAATCAGCAGTAGGCCTTCTATTAGTAGCTGATTTCTTAAAATTCAGAACTGAGTCCTACCAGTATCTTTGCTAGAAATAGAATGTTTAAAAGTTCTGAAGCATTTTAAAAGGTATAGTAGCAGACAATCTTAAATATATGCTGTAGTCTAAGTTTCATGCATAGATCATTATTTATATAAAAATATAAATAAAATTGGTACCAATATGATCACTATAATGAAACACTCCAGTCATGTATGTGGAATTGCACATAAGATCACTGAAGATGTTTTGCAGCTCATGTTTGGTACAGCCACAGTTGGCCTGAGCTTAGTGGCAGTAAGATCTCTGGCATAATTTAGTCTGACCTACTTGTGTGGGTATACAAAGAATTCCAAGTGACTTCTTCAAAGCCTTTGGAGAGGAATGGTAGCTGTTCAGCTTTGTCACAGGCAAACCTTGACAGCTTTTGGCATCCTTTTAAACTAGTTGGAGTAGAATGTTGGATGCTTTGAAATCTACAGGGAATGAACGTCTTCCACAGACCATAATAGGATTTTATCTTGCTAGGAAAACGGTACATGAGCAGCAAATGCTTGTCACAATGACAGCTTTTGAGGGAAATAGGATTTTTAATACTGTTACATTAATCAAGGTTAATGCCATGGCAATTTCCTGACTTCTATGTATCTTCTCTTTGTGGTACACTTCATGTCAATTAGGAAAGAAACTAACTTTTTTTTTTCCTCTTTTTCCATGTGGCTTTTTGAATGGAAAACAATGATGGCCCACTTACCACAGTACGGTAAGAAAAGGGAGGAGGGGGTTTCACTTTTTCCTTGACTTCAGTAATTTGCTTTCTTTTTGCCTCAGCACTGTTATGACCTTGCCTGCACCGGAAAAGCATACTGCGAGCCTCCAGGAGTGATGTGTAGTCATATTTACTCACAAGTCTGAGGTTAAGGTGTCCAAGCATTAGTTCCTTCAGAATGTCTCCTAAAGTAATCACCACAGAATTAAAGGAGCTGCATTTTTCTCCCACACTCTTTAAGGAGATCAGATTAATTTGGAGCTGGTTTTGTTCGTAGCAACAATACCGGTACATAACTGAACTACCTGGCTTATTTTTAACTAGCTTTACTGCAGATAATAAATGGTACAATATAACTCTCACTACAGACTTTTTTTTACAGCCCTTCAGTTTACTCCTGAAACTGGGAGGGGATATTTTATACCTGTTATGCTGTGAATCATAATGTTATGGAAGACTTGCCTCTTCTACATAGACCAAAGACAAACTGTATAGGTGTAGTTTAATTCTTGTGTGTGGAAACTTCAAAAGCCTGCCTGCCTGGAGGCACTTAAAGCTGGATAACCATCTCAGGTGGGAAGGTTCCAAATCTACCTCCCTGGTAAGCAGAGGAAAGTTACTGCTGCAGCACTGCTGGGGTGTGAACTGATGATTCTTCAGCTTGTGCAGTCTGAGCTTGAAGTGGTCCATGGCCTATAGAGTATTATTTGTTTATGCTCTAATGGCAGCTGAATTAAGTAAAAAGCCTAGATTGATTTGATTTACCTTTCAAAACAGAAGTCACCACTAAGACTCTCAAAGCTGTAATTTTCATAGATTCAAAAAAATCAACGCATTTAGAGCCTTAAAGACTTATTTTTCTGAAACTACAATTGTTTAAATGAGACTCCAGAAGTGACTGTAAAAATGTTACCACATATTTGTACTGCCTGTCCAGTTACCTTTTGCAGTCTTTCATGTAGTCATGCTAATGTAAGTTGTCTTGCTGCCTTACTGGGCACAGAATCATGTTTATGTGACTAGGTGTTTGTTTCTGGTCCTCTTATTGTCCTCTAGAACTGTTTCAATACCTACATTAAAGCCTCTAAAGCAATATCCTGTGCACTGCTGACTTAAGTTCCTGGGGATGTTCTCTTTCTGTTGTAACACATCTTGTGTGCAGAGGGTATTATAGGTATATTTCTTTCCACTGTCTAAGGATACCTGTAAATACCATGTAGCCATGCAGCTCTTCTGAGTTACACCATGTTATTTCTGATATGCTTGAGAGGCTTTAACCATTACAGATGTCAATTTCCCATCAGTAGCAATTTAGTAAACAAATTTATTGCACTCTTCAAAATACTCTTCTTATAAATCTGAGTTTTGACCAATGTGCATTCTGTAGACACTTGCAGAAATACTACACTATTTTTCATATTGCAGTAAGGTTAAACTATCAAAATAGCATGTACAACTTAACTAAAAAAAGCATAGAAGTGAGTTTAAGTTTCATGTGTTGCAACCCAATCTGCCGGAAGCAAGTGTGGCTTTTAATCTTACTGCAGTGTTACAAGCTGGTATCCAGACTGGCAAGAGTATCTTGGAATTAAAATTGCAAAAAACTTAAATATGCCTTGACACTTTCAAATTAGTGTAATATCTGCAGTGTTACAGTTAGGGAAAGTGTCAAAAGAATAGGTATAGTTGGTACCTGCAAAGCTTTTTCTTGGAAGGTGCATCTCTCTTGCTGCATCTAGCCAAGTTACTTTTAAGCATCTTCAGTTTTCCATTACAGGAAACTGGTGTAAGTACTGCGTGCATCTCCTGTGGAAAGAATTCCACTGTAACCTTGTTACTTATAACAGTAGTGGAAATTGGACTTATGACACTGTTTTTTCTCAGTTTCATAGAATGGTTAGAGTTTAAGGGACCTGAAAGATCATCTACTTCCAACCCCTTGCCATGGAGTTTGGAGTCTTCTAGGCAATACTTAGCAAATTGAGCTTGTCAGTTTTTCTGAGTTGATTTTTTCCAATTCTTGTCTCTCTTTCTGTGTACACACCTGTAGCTAACTGCTCTACTTTTAGATCTTAGTGACTACCTGAAGCTCAGCAATAAGTTGTTTCAGCAATTGCAGAGGAAGCTCTAGGTAACAATTTGATTTGGTTGCGTGGTGCTGTTCTTTCAAAGAAATGGTGTAAGCACTTGGAAGAAGATGGTTGCTGAGCATTTCTTCATTCTGAGCACAACATGAAAACAGTTCCAGTTCTTCGCTTCAGCAAGTCCTTGTGTTTTCACTTCACTTTGATTGAGGAGCCTTATTTGAAAGAGATGAATGCTAATTCCCTGCTTGGAAGTGGGTTGTAAATCTCAGATTATGACTAGACCAACAGACTGCTTAATGATGGCTGAGGTGTAATTACACAAAACTGCATTTCAATAGTCTTGCAATAGTTCCTTTCCAGTCTACCAAAAGATTCAGAGTGGGTTCTCCATCCTTTCCTCCTGAAGACTAGATCCTGCTATAAGAAGGGTTTAGTTGTCTCCCTTACATCAAAAGTAGTCCCTGCCTTAACTTGAAATTTTTCCCCTTAACCCTGTCCTCTGAAGCTTTGTGTGGCTAAGGAAGAACTATAGGAATTAACTACATTATTAACTATAAGAATACTGAAGGAGGTCTGTGTTTGTATGTAACTTTGTTTTCCGTTTCCCTCTTTACAGCACTTTTGGGGGCCAGTTGCCAACTGGGGACTTCCTGTTGCTGCTATTAATGACATGAAGAAATCTCCAGAAATCATTAGCGGCCGAATGACATTTGGTAAGGCCTTCAAGCAGTGATATATTATTAGTTGCTTGCAAACTTGTGATCAAAGCAGATACAGATGTCAGGTATCTTGCTATATAACTTCAGAGGCCCCTTAAAAAAAATGAGGTACCAAAAAGTTGTAGAGATCTCTTTTAAGATCTCAGTAATTTGGGGAGAGGGAGCCGGTCTTGAGTCTTAGCAGTTTTGGTCAGCATACTGGCTCCTGAAGTATAATTGTTTTGGTGTCTTACACAACCTCATGCGCTTGTTCAGAATGCCTCTCTTTACACAACTTTATTCTTTGTATCAAGAACAATGATACCTTGTGGTTACTGTGAGACTTAAATATCAACACTGACAAAGTGGAGAAATGGTAATGCTTTTGGTCTGCAGGGTGCAAAAGGCAACTGAGGGAGGTTAACTCCTTGCAAAGCAGTTACCCACGCGAGTACTGTGGCTCTTAATGTGTGAGATCTTCTGTTTAAATGCATAAGCAATATTTTTTCCACCTTTTTAGAACATGCGTAGTTTTTGCCTAGATGTCTGTCTCTGTATTTTATTATTCAAATACTTCTCTAGGATCATAAATCTGGTAGCTTTAATTTATTTGCTTAATTTTGGCATGATGTCTCTTAACTCGGTTATTAACTTAATTCTGAGTAATTCTTCTCCCCTAAGAAAAATACCTTTGGGCTATGGAAATTTATAGCCTCATGCTCACTAGGTTCTGCTTAGAGAAATTCGGTTGCTTTATCAGCTTCTTTAAGATGGAAAACTAGTTCAAATAGTCTCTGGTATAGTAAAACTATTTTGCAAATATTGCTTTGGTGGCAGCTACCCAGCTCAGCAAAGTTGAGACACTTTTTTAATTTTTACAAGTATAGGGTGGTGTGTACAAATATTTTTTCCATCTTCTAGGTTCTGTACTTTAAAAAAGGTTGTTTTCCTTGAAAAATTAATTTCCTGGGTTTTAAAATTTTTTTTAATCCTGTCAGAACTTCACAAAACTAGTGACTTTTTGGGTTATGATTTCCTGTATTTAAATGCAGTTATGATAGGAGAGTAGATTGAAAATGTTTCTTGTCTTACTGCAAAGCAAGTAACAAAGCTTTATGCTTCTGAGTGTTCATGATTTCTTGGGGATGGAAACCTCCTTCTCTTAAAGTCCATTTTAGAATGTTCCCAGCAAAAACTATATTTAATTAGTATTTTTAAAAATATTGTCCTACAAATCGTCAGAATTACTGTATAGGACATGTCTCATTGAGATTAGCTCTTATTCTCTGGCTGAGAGAGCTTATGACCTAAACTAAAAAGGCTTCAGTTGCATCACAGGGAAGTGTAGGAGGAAAATGAGGATTTCGTGGAAAGCTGCAGCCCTGTAGATTTTTTTGTTTTGTATAGCAAAATTGAGCACTGTTGTGCGTTTTCCTGCACTGGAAAACTTAAATGCAGTGAGAAGCATTCTACTTGTTATTACATTCTACTAGTATGAAAACTATGCCTCAGCAAAATGCAGGTATTAAAAAAATAATCTACTAATGTTACCTGTCATGTTTTGCAGCACTGTGTTGTTACTCCTTGACTTTCATGAGATTTGCGTACAAAGTGCAGCCAAGGAACTGGCTTCTTTTTGCATGCCACTTCACTAATGAAGTTGCACAACTTATTCAAGGAGGACGACTGATCAAATACAGGCAAGTCACACTTTAAAAAGGGGAAGTCATAAATTGATGGCTCTTGGAATACTCTTAGTGGCTTTTAACTGTAGTGCAAACACCTGCGTGGTTTCTGGACTTGGTTAACTTCATTACCTTTTGCAAACCTTTTAGCAAGCTTCTTGTCAGTAGGCTGAACTATGACTTGTTCCCTTACACCTCCTTTGAGGCTTCTGAGAGGTGAACATGGAAAAGGCTGAAACCCCATATGGTCATGGATGTAGATGGGGCTTTCAGCAGCTGCTGGCTGTTTTGGGGTTTGTTTCATGTATAATGTTGATTAATCTACATGTGTCTGTCTCAGTAATTCCTGAGATGGAAACATCCATAAAACTGTGAAGGGGTTGTATGTCTGAAAGAGAAATCATGCAAAACCTCACTGGGCTAGATCCAACTGAGTGTGACCAAGGAACAGACCGCAAGCAGTCTCACACTTGTTGTGTAGCAAGTAGCACAGACACTGCCCCAGGTAATCCCGATGAGTCAGGATGAGGGCTTTTCTCTCTTCTGCTCCAAGAAATCTCTGTGGAGCAATGGGAGGATGAAGCCTCCTGAATTAAAAAATGAGTGAGCAAAGCTGCAAGTGGACCTGACTTTGCATAAATAATTGGCCAAATGTTCTTCATTCCCAAAGTTCTACTAATAAGTCCAGATTCTTTTATAGCAATTGCAGTTCATTATTTACTCTTAAAAAAGCTGTTCTTCTCTTGGCAGGATGGAGAAAAAGAACTAAATATCTAACTTGAAATATGCCAGGGAATGTGTTCATCCCGAATTACAACCAAGGAAGACTTGCCATCTACAGTTGCTGTGACAATTATGATGGGGTAAAACAGAAACACCTATTCAGAATATGACCCCACCAAGAATTCTTCTACAATTTTTTTATCATGCCTTTTAAAAAGTACTCTTCAGCAATGTAAACCATTGCATTTAAAGTCTTGCTGCCTTACAGGTCCTTAATAACTACCCTTTTAATAAAGTTAGTCATCCAAATAACAAGCAATATTTGAAAACCAACTTTTTTTATCTGAGTCTACAAAAGTGGCCTGTGATGGTTTGACAAAACTTGCTTTCAAATCAATATGAACAGAGGTCGGTATAACAGAACTGTAGGTGGTATCACTGTTTTAACATCGCTATGTATTAACATTCTTAAAAGCCATTTAACTTGGGTGCATTCATTCCTATGATGTCTCCTTTTTTTTTATTAATTTAAGTAGTGGTTTGCTAATCTACAAGAACAAATGTGTAGATGGGCAGCCTGGAAGTGACCAGCTATCCCTCTTCCCTTATTGCATGCCTTGTCTCAGTAAAGAGACTTCATTAACATACATTTTTAAGTCGCACATTATTTAAAGAAGACTTGGAAAATCAAAAGCATAGCACTGAATGAAGGAAGGCAACAAAGTCTGATACTGTTCTTTAAGAAGTTCTAAATGGATTTTATTTTTTTTCCTACTGTTTGAGTTGTTCTAGATGTATGTAATACTTATATAAGCAAAAACTTGTTTGGAGTCTGAAGGACACAAGGTGCCTTTCAGCAGTTTTTTGACTTCATGACCTGCCTGAAAGTTACAATGCTGTAAAGATGACAAAGAATGTATGTGATGGGTTTTATTTCAGTGCAGTGTTTTTGAACAATAAACATGTTCCAAATGGCAATAAATCCCTTCAACATTTTGAAAAGTTCTGTTTATCGTACTGTGATACCAGATCCTGAAGTGAAGTTTTCATATGGAGTCTCACTTTATTACTGTAACAGCACAAAGCAAAAACAGGCTGGAAAAGTAAATGTATGTATGTATCCTTTGAATGTCCTGAGTTCGGGCATGTGTTTTCACGATCCTAATACCTAGCACTTCTCCCCCTCCTGGAAAGAGAGAGGTGGGTACCTGACTGAGTATTCCTGCCATGATAGGCAGGGTTGAATTCAGAGCTCTTACTATGCAGCTGAGCAAATATTACTTATTGTCTTCTAGCAATTATAAGATGCTCAATTAAAAGACTTGCTTTAATCCTAGGATGATAATGTGTTCCCAGTTGCGTGATGGCTAAATTTTGTAACTGGCATAAGAGAAAGGGGCTTACAGGGCATGCCGTGCTTGCTTTGATTAGGTTTTAAACCAGGGATGCTTCCTGCAGTCCACAGAGGCCTCTACAGAAAGGGGAAGAGACTTGAAGGGACAGGGCCCAGTCTGGGATGGGGAACTCAGGCCTGAGGTGGATGTTCTGCAGTCTGTCAGTCTACCTAGTGACAAAAAATATTTGTATGGGCAGAGTGCCACCAAGTGGCTTGTGACCTGCGTCCTTCAGACCACTATTCAGCAAGCCATTTACATACTATTTCTTCCTTTAAAAAGTGGTGTGTGTGGGAGGATCTTAAGGAGGAGAAAGGAGGAAAATCCTCTCACAAAATACTGAAACATTGGAATATAACCATTTGGGGATGGTACTGTCTGGGATAGTCCAAAAAGAACAATTTAAAGAGACTGGTGATTTTTGTATTGAGTCTGAATATCTTAATAGAGCTAATGGCTTTCTCCCCCCCACCCCCCACCTCAGGTAGCATTGAATAAAAAAATGGGGCTATGCCAGCTTAACTGATTAAGAATAATCCAAAATTAGAACTCAGTGTTTGCATTTGATTTCTAAGATTAGAGGGCTTGTCTCTACGTGTTATTCTGGAATAGTTATTTGGTTTTAATTTCACAGCTTGCTTTAATCCTAATAACTTTTCAGATGTAGGATGTGTCCTGCCACTAGAAACCTGTGCCGCTCTGGTCCCAGGCACTGTCCTGTGTGTCCTGCTCCAGTTCCACCACAGTAAGACTGGCAACCACGTGGCCTTTCCTGTCTTGCTGCAGTGTCAGCTGCCATCTTCTTTCATGTTTTCAGACAGAAAAGAATTTCTCACCTTTCTGAGCAAGTGCTGCTAGGCTGCTGCTAAGGAATGTGACACCCTTAGGAATTCAGGTGGGAGACAGCACCAGCTAAGCACTCACTCCTTTTTTTTGATTCCTGCTTCCTTTCCAGTTTGAGCTCGAGAGATACCTTGACCCACTTCTTCAAGGGGAGACTTAGACTGTAACTTACTACAGCATTAAAATAGCCTCTTCTGCTGTTGTAAGATTAAGTGTCCTTGATCTGGAAGCTTCCTGATTGATGATTCAAATGTAGAGGTCATTTGGTAGCACAGTACTAAATGGGCAGAAAGCAATAACCATAATTGTGGAGTCAGAAGAAATTATTGCCAGGCTTCTTTAATGAGGGTAGTAACAGCTACCTGTAGTGAATTTTGTTCAACCTCCCACAGCTGTCTCATGTTATATAATCATTTAAGCTAATGCTGCTATTTACAGTGTTTTATTTTTTTCCATTTTGCTTCTATGGTTGCTGCATGAAGAAGTGAGCTTTCCCTACTCTAATGACAGCGAAAACTCTTAGCCGTGGTACTGCAAACACAGCCTGCCAGCTCTTGCTGGCACATTCTTAGTAAAATGTAGTTCTCCATAGCATTGTGGGTTATCTTTTGTTCTCTGTACAAAGCACAATGGTGCCATCTGAGCAAGGACAGCAATGTAAAGAACTGAGGGGGAAAAAAGGGACACACAAAAAAAAGTCTAAATAAGCTTACAGACTGAGAGAAGGCAGCAAGAAAGGGAGAGTTTGCTCCTTGGGACCTAAGACAGGGTTTTGGCATTGAAGTAAAGTGTTTAGAAAATTCCATTTCAGATTAGAACAGTCTTCCAGCTACTCCAGTGCCTTCCCTGAGCTCTCATTCGAATGCTGATACGAACTATATTATGGTCCAACTCATGTAGGGCATCAAATGTATTTACTTCAACTGTATGTGCTTGCAGCGTACCTGAACTGGCAGTATTACACTGCTGCAGGTGCAGACACATGGCATTGCTTCACGTGCCACTTATAAGGAAGTGAACTGAGTTGAGAAGAGCAGGAAAAAGATGAGAGAGAGAAGAGTAATAAAAAGCCTACTAGTGTGATATGTTTGTTGGTGGGCTTAGCACAAAGCCTTTTATGAATAAGGCCTGTTCTTCATGCTAACGTCACAGACTACCAACAATATAAAATGGTAACGTAGGAAAGATTCACAAGCATAGCTACTAGCTCTCTTAGCTTTTTAGCCTATATCTCACAGAATACTTTGATCCTGTCTGCATTTGGGGAAGAACAGTGCTGGCTGCCAAATGTAATATGTTTGCAGTTCTGCTTCTATAGAGTTGGAGTATTTCTGCTGTCATCTTATGCAGAGGCTAAAAATGTTAATTCCCATTGACTAAGGCAAGTTTCACTGTCTTTGTAAAGTAGAAAAGCAAGCAGTCCAGTGTTCTAAAATAAGGCAATTGCTTTATTAAATGAATTGTCAAGTCTGTTTCTCCCCACCCAATCCCTTTCTGCTTTGGCTGATACAATAATGTGCATTGTGTTTAGTCACTGTGGTAACCACGCTGCCAGTGCATTGTGTTTAGTCACTGTGGTAACCACTTACAAATAACCAGTGTCCATAGGATCAACCCAGTAGCAACCAGAAGCAGAAATATTGGCTTCCTGGATAACCTGCCCTGAGTGTCATCACTGAGGTCCTGCTCCTTCAACATCATGACCTCTATCACATGGCCTAACCCTGACCATGATACTGCTCTCTTCTTTTCCTACTTTTTCTTCTCCTCCCTCTCTTCCCACCTTTTTTAACAGTAGGTTTCAAGTAACTATGGCAACCAGCGTGGGAATTCTCAGTTTATTCATTTCGTCTGAAATCTGGGTCATGTCTTCCTCATTAAGTGAAACTATTGTATGGGGATAACTGGCCCAAACTCAGCCCTTGGTGCAAGAGAAAGCAGCGCCAGTTACGGCAGCACTTCCAAGTACTTAAATGATGGCTGTATTTGGTCCACTGTGTAGAAATATATAAAGGAACAAAGCAAGCCACTTACAATTTTGATAGTATTTAATAATTTTGGAAGCATTTAACCCATAACTTAACCAGGGGAGAACCGTGCTGTAACTTGCTTTTAGTGGTGTTGACTTATAGGTTGGTTGGAATAGACTCATGTCATGCTTCTTGTCCTGGGATATGTATTAACTGAAGGGATGCTTTCTCAGAGCGGTATTGAGTGATGTAAATGAGACTAGTAGCCTCTCATTCTTTGAAGAGGACATGTGGTATTGTGGAATCTTCAAGCTGTCTCCTGGCAGGGTAAGATATTAATCTCCTCTAACCTGTCACTCGGCAGTCTGCCTGGATCCGAGATCACAGCTTAAACACAGAAAGATCTCCAGCTTTTAACTTGTAGCAATGGCAAGGGAATAGCAAGATTGTCTCAAACAGTCCTCGCTTACACCTTAGGATAGACCATGTCTCCTTGCCCCTGGGATCACTTAAAATCCTAGAACAATTACTGTATTTGTTAATGAGGAAGCTATGCAAAGCAACAAGTACAAGGTACTTTTGTACGCGTGCTTGATGTTAGGGGTCAGCTGGGAGCAAAGCAGAAAGCCAGCAGTGTGATCGGTAACCTCTCTAATACTTTGTGTTTCTTATACTGTAAATTGATAAACACCAGCGTCAATTCTCAGCCAGATTATTGTTTGGAACAGGAAAGGGTTCAAAGGTTTGGCAAGGTACCGGGAGTGTATCAGTTAGCAAAGCCTCTGTGGTACCTCATCAGAATGTATGATGCCACAGACAGAGATGAGCTCACAAGGCTGTTTCTTACTTCCTTGCATTTGCTGTGTTACCCGTGATGAGCCAATAAAGGCTGTTACCTTCCCCTCCAGAGCTTTGCAGTAGCTCCTGGTGTTACTGTGAACCCCAAACACACCTAGTGACTAGGTGCCTGCCAAGCACTCCAGGAAGCAGCTCTTCAGTCTGCAGTTGGTTTTTGCGTGCCTCAGCTCCCTACATCAGAGATCTAGGAGTGAGATCACTTCGTGACACTAAAGAAGCGATGACTGGATCTGGAAAGGTTTGAGTCACAGCAGAAACAATGACCGTGAAGCTGTAATCAAGTTGCCAAGCGTGTGCTCTGCTGAAGAGGCCTGTGACTTTGAGTGGGAAGTGTCAGAGAAATTAGAAGTAATGGGTTTCCTGAACTGAGGCATAAGAAAGGGGATGCATTTTCCAGCCTTTGCTTCCTTGCTCCTTGTTTTTGGATCACCATTCCCTGTTGTTGTCAGCGATGCAGGCTTGTTGAAGGAAGTTCATAATCACATTTTCAAGAGGACATGTTCTTTTCAACAGACATGAGGGACATTTGTCTCCAGTGGTAAGCTCCCTTCCTTTCAGTGGGCTTCAGAAGGTGCTGCTTTGTTTGATGTGAGATGTTTGCACCAAGCGGCAGGACTGAGGTGGGGGTCTTATCAAGTAGAATGGACAAGTCCCCAGAGCAGCTCTACGTTTTCTACCATGCTCCCAGTAGGTCTCTTGTAACCCTTGGCTTTCACCTTTCAGCAATATTCCTTCAAATACGCCATTTCCAAAGGTGAAGAATGCAAAGGTGAGGAGGAATATGGGACATTAGAACCCTAAAGTGTGACCAGAGCAATCACTGAACTCTGATTTTTGTGGAATAAGGGTTTACAGGTTTACAGCTGATCGAGCTATGAGACTGAAGGGTACAGACACTGGTCTTTGTACGTTCATTAAAACTGTGCCACCGACTACA